TCTACAAACTTCGACTCAAGTCTATAATGAGCACCATATGATGCCTTCGGAGCACAGGGAATCAGGAGGGCTGGTCTTCCAGAATCCCAGTCTCTGGCGTGTGTTCTTTCCCCAAGCAACTCACTGACACCGGCCAACGTCCTACGTTAAATCGATTCTGACACTGCCCAACTGGAGACAGCATCAGATTCCATAGGGGAAGGACTCAGTCCCCCAAGACTGTCCCCTCTCAGACACCAATCACAAATCCTAGTGGTCATCTGTGCCTCTGACCCATGGCCCCTCCCTGGGCCTGTGAGTTGCTCACCGACCTTAGAGAGACATTTCCCTCACTAGAGTACTGGATGATCATGATAGTGGTCACTCGGGAATATCCAGATGGAAGGGGCACAGAAGGCAGGTGTGGGGAGGGGGTGGAGCTTCTGTGACCAGTGCCAGGTGTTCCCCAAGCAGGGAGCTAACTGGTCCTTGTCAGGTCATGCTGGAGGCTTCACTGCATAGACAGAATGGATTACATCACTGACCACTGGCATCCCTAAACTGGGAATCCCAAACCTTGCTGACACAACTCGCTCCTCCCACTAACAGCCCCCACCCTTCGGTGCCTTCTGACTGTCATCTCATTGACACAAACCCGGGTGGCATTGAAAGACGTTTTTATTAAAATCGAGACATGTTTATCACTCTTATCACTAAGGAAATTACAGGGGTTTTAGAAGCCTCCGTGCCAGAAACCAGAGCCAAAGACCAAATAGGTATATTTCTTATTATAAGTCACAATGTCATAGGATCTATCAGCAATAAGAGGCACCTAGGTGGCTTGGTCACTTTAAGCATCTGACTCTTGATTTTGGCTCAGGTCTTGATCTTGAGGTTGTGGGATCGAGACCCATGTTGGGCTCCATGCTCAGCAGGAAGTCTGCTTCTCCTTCTCCCTCTGCCCCCTCCCTGTTTGCATGCGTACACGTGTGCACACTCTCTCTCTCTCAAATAAATAAATAAATCTTTACAAAAAAGTCTAACAGCAATAAAAGAAATGTATCCCCAAGGAGAAATAATACAAGGTATATGTTAGATGCCAGGTGAGTGGGGATTAGAGCAGGAGGGGAGTGAGGTTTTGGGTGCAGCCAAGGAAGGTTTAGAAAAGGCAGCTGAGCTCACAAATGGCCAACTGCCACACATTGAGCCCCAACTACACAAGGGAGCACGCTAGGCACTTCACACACATTCCACTCCATCCTCTCAACACAGGCACTGCCATTATCTGCAATTTTCACGTGAAAGAAATTCGTACTTTAAGATGTTACGTAACTTGTCCAAACAGTAAAGCCTAGATTCAAACTCAGGTCGGCCTGAGTCAAAGGCAACACTCTCAAGCACTGGACTAACAGACACTTCCATGAACAGACACATGAGACAGCCCAGCCCGGAGAGACAGCGGGCACAGGGTCACCGTGGGGCACACAGCACACTCTCGGGAGACAGGTCAACGGCAGTACACAATACAGCCAAAGTAGCCAGACAGGTGCCCACACGGAGCAGGCCACCACCATGGTCCCCTTCCAGCTTCCCCATCGCGCTACAAGGTAGCCGTGACATCCATCCCCAGGGTTTCAAGACGTCTGAGGTTCCAAGTCTACATGCGACCTTTCCAGCCATACAGTAGAAAGGAGCAAAATTAGAACTCAGGCCCAGGCCTATGTGATTCCCATCTGTGTTCTGGGCTCCAGACACGGTAGTCCAGCTGACCCCTATGGCTGAAGAAGAAGGACAGCACCAGAGAGAAGTGAGAGTCTACAGGGAAGGACAGGAGGACCAGAGAGTGACCTCCATACATAAACTGTATTCAGTGTCCCTCCTGCTGGCAAAAAATCACCTAGTGGGAGCTGGGGTCTGCCCAGGGAGAGGCCCAAACAGGGTGGCGGACCTGCCACAAAACGAATTTCAGGAAAGTTATTATGCCCAAGAAACCGATCTGGAGTTTATTCCAATGGAACTAATCTGAAGAATCAAAACTGTAGACAGAAGATTCCCCCCATAACTGGGATTAGAGGCAGGTGATAAAAACATTACATGGAAAAATCTGGCGATATCTGAAAACTGGATGGGTGGTGGAAACACATGGTATGTAATATGTGATATGTGATATTATATGATAATCACAGTCTCGCAAACTGCCTACCCATAGGAAGGGGAAAGACACAGAGAATGAGAAGGGTGAAGCCAGACATGCTGAAATCTGGGGTCAGTGGGACATTGAAATGGCAGCAAAGCACTGAACGGGACAGCACAGAGCAGAGAGCCCTGTAACTGGCCAGCACAAATCCATGTCAGCAGGGACCCCAGGTCATCAGCTTTGCGGCGACGGGGACCAGGCCTGCCCCCCGCCCTGCCCCCATCACACCCCACGCTGACCGGGTGCTCCATAAATATTTTCTGGATGAAGTCTTATGACCCAATCTAAATGTATTCAGCTTATCCTCAAGGATATCATGACTCTGTCAAATACCTTGATGAATTTCACACCCACCCTCATTATTTTCTTTCTGAGGCCATGCAATCCTATTAAAGAAACAAATGAGGTCAATTTAATGGGAATTACTTTGAGTGAACCAACCCTCACCCTCCCAGAAGCAGCGATCACAAGCAACCAAGAAGGATGTGACACTTGTTATGGACAACATCCCATTCAATTACTTTAAAATGTTCTGGTTGAGGAGGAGACAGCCTTCATTAGGATCATTCATTCAAGTTATGTCTCAGGTGCCCACACAAAGGTATGAGTTCCCAGAGAGCCTCCAGGAAGAAACAAAACAGCCCTAACGCAGTGATACAAGCAAATAGTTTCCTATAGTCTGTGGGATTTCAGAAAGGGGGCGCCCGGGGGGCTCTGGTGGTTGAGTGTCTGACTCCTGGGTTTTGGCTCAGGTCATGATCTCAGGGTGGTGGGATCAAGCCTCATGTTGGTCTCCCTGCTCAGCAGGGAGCCTGCTTCTCCCTCTCCCTCTGCCCCTCCTCTCTGCTTGTGCACTGTCTCCCCCACACACACAAAAAAGAATAGTTACTATTTACCAAATAGCTTCTAGAGACAAATCATGTGCTAAAACCATCCTCATTTACTTGGACAGAGCTTATCGTAACTGGGAAGCACAACTAGATTAAGGGGAAAGATCATGTCTCTTCCTTACTCATCCCACTGCTGTCCTCAAATACAAGTAGAACAAAGGCATAAATGGACACACTTTAGCTGAACCTAAGGAATACACTCCACAGTGGGCCGAGCTGGTACAAAGACCACGGGCTGTGTCCCTGAAGAACTGGTGACAGGAATTTCCGCAGGACATTCCAAGGTGATGCAAGCACTGGAGGAGCAGCTCTCAGACTCAGACAGAACTGGATGGTCCTGGGTCCCAGCCCTAGGCCTGCAAGTCTGGAGAAGCAGCTACATTAAGTCTGAACAAGGCCTCAGTCTCATCTTACAAGCCTGGGCGACTCCCCAAGATGTGTCACATCCCTTCCTGTCTTCAAACGCTTGCAATCTCTGCCCCTGAAGACATGCCATGGTCCAACAATGTTGGACGTTCCTCCAGTCCAATACTGGCGTTCCTCCAGTCTACCAAATGTGGGACAGGAGGGAGGTAGATCTGTGTATACCTTTGCCTAACTTCTAGCAGAGTGCAGGACTGGATCGTAGAGGGGAAACGAAGGTCACAAAGCAGATGACAACCCCCCCTCACTATGAGCCCCATGACCTTATCCTCTCCTGCCCCATTATGTCAATTTTGTAGGCTACAGAGTTAGCTTGGAAGGAAGCAGAAATTGAGAGATGACCGTACAAAGCTGCTCTGCGGTTCCTTGCCACTACTTAAGTCTTAGTCAAACATACATCTTTAAGGCAGGTCTGAGTCATCATTTGACAAAATAGTGCTCCTGGCTTGTTTTGTTTTCAGCTCTTTGACTGCTCATTAACAATTAAACTCCCCAGTGGCTGCTGTCCAGGGAAGAGTGTGTGCAAAGGTCCAGTGGTAAAGGAAACAAAGCAGAGCTGGGAAACACACTCAGAGCAGCTGGAACTCAGGTTACACAGTGGGGGAGTGGAAATACCTGAAAACAGACACGCAGAACCAAGTCAGGAAAAGCCTTGTAAGGAGTGTTCACATCTACCCACCCCCCCACCCCCAGGGCAACAGGAGGCCCCAGAGACACTTGAAACGGGAAAGAAACCGTCAGATGGGTGTTTTGGAAATCTCATTTCATGTACTGCGTGGAGAATGGACCGACAAGCAGGAGAGGATGCAAGACGTAGTGAAGAAGAGCAGTGAGGAGGAGCAGCGAGGAGGCCATTAGGACCACCCTGGTGGCTCAGGCTACAGTCCCAGCAGTGGACACACTCAGTACCCATTCAGCTGTAAAATCAGAAGGACTTGGCAATGGGCCACACAAGGGGTGTGAGAGAGAGAGGGGGCAGGGAGTCGAGGAGGACCCTGACATTCCTGGCACTGTCTGCTGCATGGCTGCCGGTCCCACATGCCAGGAGGGACCCACACTAGGAGGGACTGAGGGCAACAGAATTCAGCCTGGAGCAGGTGACACCCACAGGACATCCAGGAGATGTCCAGAAGGCATCAGCTGATCTGGAGGCAGGAAAGCTTATTAGCAATAATAATGTACTCATTAATATACAGAGCACAAAGGAAATCAAGGGAAATGATAAAATTACTCAGGGGAAATGTCTAATTAGACCGACAGGTAAGGGCCTGAGTCTGCACAAAGGTGACCACATCTCAATACCTCACTCTCACAGCTTACCAAGGGCTGCTCATCCTAAGCAGGGTAATAGGGGTACCTTGGAATGGAAGCCCCATACAGTTCATCTCCTTAAGAAAGTGACCTCCACAATCTGAACGTAACCAGTGGGTCAGGGGCCTGACAACCTGTTACCATGGGGTCATTGTCTGATGGCACCCAAGGGGATCAGTTCTAACACCATCAGTGCTCACCTGTGGACAAAGCTTCCTCCCGAACCTCATCCTCTCCAGGCTGGTAGATGTTCCAGGACGTTTTGGGAAGTGAGGAGATTTCCTCGGGTGACGCCAGCTTCACCATGTCCATGTGATTGCTCCTGAACTGGTAGCGTGGGATAAAGCAGGTCTTGCCTTGCTGGAAGATGTCCCTTATGATCTCTTCTGTCTCGATCTCGTCGTGCATGCTCAGAAAGATGGAGATCCTCTTGGACTTTTGATACTGACTATGGGCAATCACCTGCATGGGAAATGACAGCAGTCACGTGGCTGCCCCCAGGTTATGCTCTTAAACACCAGTGGCTCCCCCTCTTCACTGTTGTCACACTTTCTCCCTGGTCTCTCAGCCTGCTGGGGCTTCTTGAATGATTCAAACACAAAACAACAGACAGCAGAGTGCCAGGGGGCCAGGCAGGGCTGCATCCTGAAGCCAGGGCTTGGTTCCAAACCCGGCATCTACCTCCCTGACCCCCTGCCATCTTGTTCTCACATACCTGCTCCAGCACGTGGGAAAACCCATGAGAACCCCAGGCCTGCCCCCCAGCTGCGGCCCACCCCAGCCGCCCTCATCTGTCGTCTCCCCTTCCTTTTCTGTTCTTCTGAGCTAAAAAGACAAAGATGCTGCAACACTGGCTCATAACCAGGACTAGCAGAAAGAAACAGGTACAGAAAGTCAAGGTATCCCTCACAGGAAGGAGCGCATAGAAATTCGGTGGATAGAGGACGCAGGACAGGTGCCAAGGAGGTTAACTCCATCTCCCTGGGAACTCAGAACACTGGTAGGAGGCCTGACATAATGCAAAACACAGAAAAATGCGACACTCAAACCCTGGGCAGACCAGGAGCTTCTGGCACCCAAGTATCTGCTGAGAAAGTAAAGTGTCTGTCATGTTCTCTTTAAAGAGAATATAAAACAACCAGAGCTGAACAAACAGCAACAGACATCGGTTAAAATTCAGCGTAAGGCTGTGCGCACACATTTATCTTTCTGGGCTTCCTAAAATCTCATTTATGGGACAGTAATGAAGCACAAAAAAGGAAAACCATTAGAGCGCTGGGAACGAGAGACTTGAAGAATTTCTGCGAGACGGAGAGAAGACAGGGCTGTACTTCCAGACAAACTGCAGCACAGGCAGCCCTCAGCAGACGTGGCTGTAGCCCATTCCTCCCAATGTGCCTGCAAAGGGCAAGGAGATCCTCAGGAGCTGTCACACCTACATTCACAAACAGTCCCCACAATAAAGTTTCAGCAAACATTTCAGAAAGCCAAAACATAAAAGAGAAGGACTAAAGGGGTGAGAGGGATGATCCAGGAGAAAATGGAGATAATTCAGAGAACAGGGAATTTTGAAATTCTCATTACTTTTCTCAGACAAGTTCAAGAAGATAGTTGCATCAATAAAATAACAACAGACTGCTATGGAAAGAAAGCAATCAGAGAACTAAGAAGTAACACTTGAAAATTAAAATTAAGAATACCAAAACTTTTTAAAAATTCAGGAGAAAGTCTTAAAATAGGAGAAATAAACAAAGAAATGGAGAAAGTAAAAAGAAAAAAAATCTTATGAAATACAGAAAGGCAATACAGGATTTTCCCTAGTTGACTTCCAGGAAATGCAGAAAGGGACAAAGAAAAAAGAAATAACCAAAGATAAAACAGATAAAAATAGCAGTCTTCAAGCTGAATGGAGGTTACGGGTGCTGAGCAGAACAAGGAAAAATATTTTGAAACTTAAAATTCAAACTATCAATCAAATATGAGGATAAAGATATTTTCTAAGGTATATAGTCTTAAAAAGTTTTCCCCTAGGGGATCCCTGGGTGGCGCAGCGGTTTGGCGCCTGCCTTTGGCCCAGGGCGCGATCCTGGAGACCCGGTCCCATCGAGTCCCCGTGCATGGAGCCTGCTTCCCTCTGCCTGTGTCTCTGCCTCTCTCTCTCTCTGTGTGTGACTATCATAAATAAATAAAAATTAAAAAAAAAAAAAGTTTTCCTCTATAGACATTTCTAAAAAAAAAAAAATTTTTTTTTAAAAACCCACAAAAATAATTACTTGAGAAAATACTCTAATAAGATGGAAAGAAAGAAATCTAACCTAGAAGACACTGGGTTTGAGCAGCAGCCCCAGCTTAGAAGCAGGGTGGGAGGGAACCCAGGCAGTGGTTGTGCCCCGGGCTGGGGCAGAGGGAAAAGGGGCTAGAGTGCTCTCAAGAAGAAAACGGGTTTATTTTAATAGACAAAATGAAGAAGAATCTACTGAGAAGATAAAGTCTTGTTCTGCCAAAAAGGAAAAATAAAGGCAATCAGAAACTCCTTGAAAAAAATAGAGGTAGGTGAGAAATGCAGAATTCGAAATAAGAACAGATTAAATCACGTTCAAAGTTCACTGTATAAAGTATGAATTGTGAAACACCGGGTTGTGAAACATTTCTTTGATGTATTTGCAGGAGGTAAGTTGTACTTATTACTGAGGGTCATGGGTCTGTTTTTCAACTTTTCTCTCTCATCTGCCACCAGCTCTGAGTTGCCATCGTGTTGTCACTGGTTCTGTCTATAATTCCGACCTGGAATTTATGAAATCTCATCTTCTATAGGTGGACAAACTGACTTCATCTTGGTTTTCCCTGGGCAATTCCAAAATCTGCTCTGACTTCTTTTTTTTTTTCTGCTCCGACTTCTATGGGCCTCCTGCCTATTGACATTAAATCACCAGCTCTGAATTCTGAAATCACACAGGACTCCCCTCCTTTCCCCTGTTCTCTGAGCTTTATTCCAACCAGTTGGCAGGTCTTGCTGATTTTCGCTGCACCGACTCCTACTTTCCAAAATGCTTTTCCTAAAAGATATATCAAAAACACGTGTAGGGGCGCCTGAGTGGCTCAGTCAGTGAAGCATGCAACTCTTGATCTCGGGGGTTGTGAATTCAAGCCGCACCTTGTGTGTAGAGATTACTTTCAAAAAAAATCTGTAGGGGCACCTGGGTGGCTCAGTGGTTGAGCATCTACGTTTGACTCAGGTCATGATCCCCCCGGGGTCCTGAGTCCCGCATCGGGCTCCCTGCAGGGAGCCTCTCTCTTTCTCTCTCACGAGTAAATAATTTTTTTTTTTAATCTGTAGAAAAAAAAAAAAAAAAAAAAACGATGTGAAGCACTGAATGCATCCATCTACACACCTGTTTAAACCCTCACAGTAGGCCTACAAGGATGACGTGATCCTTTTAATGGATAAGGAATCAGACAGTGGGGCAGGTTAGGAGCCCGGGCCACCATACACGCTAAACGCAGATCTGTGTGGCTCCAAAGGCCCTGCTCACCGGTGTCCTTCCGCCTCTCGCCAGGACGCGGCTGCAGGGGCTCACCCACGCCATCCCGCCTCCACCTGGCAGATCCCGCCTTCGACCACAAACTGCATCTCGAACCTCTTCCACTGGTGGTTTCTGGAGCTTTGGTGTTCACCGGACCCCTGAGGGCACTGCGATTCTTTATTCACAAGCCCATTTCCTCCCGCAGACTCCACTTCAGAGCAACCGCCAAATCTGTTTCGTCCCTGCAACCCGCACACAGCCGGAGTGGACCAGGACGGGCGCTCCCAGGGCGGGAGAGAACCCGCCAGGGTCTGAGCACCTGCGGGCCGGGCCGGGCCGGGCCGGGCCGGGCCAGGCTCCGGGACTGTCTGTCTGCACCACCCAGGCACCCGGCCGTGCCTCTGGCGGCTGCTCCAGGAACTCGGTGCAAATGCACACACCAGCCCTGCACCCCTGCGTGGGGCGAGACGGAGGCTCTCCGGGCCGCTGGGACCCCTGGGGACCCCGCGCTTGGGAAGTGGGGGGACGACGGAGCAGGGAAAGGCGAGGAAGGGGTTCTCGGGCTCAGCTCCCTGAAGCGCCTCCAGGGAACTCCGCAGGCTCCGCACCGAGGGCCCCGGCGCCCGGGGGAAGCCCCCCCGCCCCTCGGGCGTCCCACCCTCCCGGCCGCGCTCTTGGCTCGTGTCCCCGAGGCCGCTGGACTCTGGCAGCGCGTCCACACGCTCCCGGGAACTCACGGGGCCCCTCCGCTCAGCCGGCCGGAGCTTCCTGCCCCCACCCTCCTCTCACCCCGCCGGCAGGCCTTCCCCGCCACCCTCGCCCTGCTTAGCCGCGGGCCCCCGACGGAGGGACGTGCGCGCGCCCTGGAGCCCCCGACGGAGGGACGTGCGCGCCCCCGGGGCCCCGACGGAGGGACGTGCGCGCGCCCTGGAGCCCCCGACGGAGGGACGTGCGCGCCCCCCGGGGCCCCCACGGAAGGACGTGCGCGCGCCCGTGAACGCCGTGCGCGCCCGGGAGCCGCGCCTGCGCAGTCTGCCAGCCGAGAGTCGCCAGCCGTCCCCGAGCGCGGGGTCCCCTCGGTGTCGCACCTTCTGGGCCAAGAGGCGGGACTGGCGCAGCCGCTCCTCGGCGCTCATCGCCCGCAGGCGCTGCTTCAGCTCTGCCCTCAGGCTCCGCTTGGCGCTGCTCACTGCCGCCACCGCCGCCATCTCCCGGGCGCCCGTGTCCGTCCCGCTTCCGGCTCGCGGCCGCCCCGCCCCCAGCACGCCTCCTGCGGGACCGCGTGGCGGGCGTCGGGGGCAGGGTCCGCGGTCGGGGCGGGGACGGGGGGAGAGTCGGAGGGAGACGGGGGTGGGGGGAGGGCGGCCGAGGGCCGGGGCGAGGGCCGGGGAGGCGGCGCCCCAGGGGGGCGGAGCAGCTGGCCACGGGGGAGGGGGAAGGGTCCGGGGTAGGGGAGGGCCCTGGGGGACGGGGCTCCCGGGGGAGGGTCCGGGGAGGCAGGGGTCCCGCGGGGAGGCCCCGGGGGCAGGTGCGAGGTAGGGAGGCTCCAGCCTGGGTGCCGGCCCAAGGGGCGTTTCCTCCCCTTCCGGGCAGGGACCTAGTGACCGCCTGCCCCGCTCCGAGCGGCTGTGGCCGGTCCGGCCTCGGGGAGTGCGGGGGCCAGGGCCGTAGCCTGGGCCTGCGCGAGCCCAAGTCAGGCCGACGCAGACCTACCTACTGGTCAAAGGGGAAATGATGCGGGGTTTTGGCAAAAACGCTTCCCCCACTCTTCTCTTCCGCGGGTAGGACGGAGCTGGCTCATTACCGAGGGACCCACAGAGCTTTCCTGTTCACCTGCAGGGAACCGGGACTCAGGCCACCCTGCCGTGCGTGCCCAGTTCGGGGCCCACAGTGTGCTCGCCGTGCAGTGGGGCAACGTGCGCCTCCTGTGCAAGCTCCGTGCCTCCAGGGGCTTCCCGTGCTTGCCGGAGCTTACCTGGCCCAGGGGGAGGGAAAACCCTAGTTCCAAGGAGTAACTCCATGTGGAGAAAGGCTCTTAGACTCAGTTTACACCAGTGACAGAAAGGTGAGAGGGGCTCATTATTTCACAGATAAAGAGAATGAGCTGTAAAACAGTTAGAAGGAGAAATTTTCGTAAGTTTAACGTCAATTTTACCGAAGTTCCTATTGGAAAACAAGCATTCAAGAATAGAAAAACACTGAAAATGAGAGCCCCCACCCCCACCCCGGGAACTGGCCCTTCCAAACCTTGAAACAAACACTCGAGCCTCCAGTATTAAAACACCATGGCACTGCCACTTGAACGCACAGTACAACATTAAATAGCACAGAAAGCACAGAAATAGACCAGAAGCCTTATGGAAATTTAGTATACGACAGAGATGATATTTCAAGTCACTGGGGCCAGCATCATCTTTTAATAAATGGTCCAAGGAGAGCTGGACAGCCATTTTTTTTTTAAATAAAACGTCCATATCTAACACCGTACATAAAAAACTCCAAATGGATTAAGGATCTAGTGTAAAAGCAGAGACTAGGCAGCAGTGGGAGAGACAGCAGTTCCCCTTTAACCGCAGTATAAGGCAAGGTGGTAAGAAAAAAGCTTGATATATTGGACTACGTGAAAGCTTTTTGTAATTTTTGCATAGTATAAAAAGCCATATGCATAAGTAACGACAGCTGACAAACTGAGACAAGATACTTGCAACATAAACCACAAACAAAGGGCTAATTTCTTTTAATAAAGAAACTACTAAAAATTGGGTTATGGGGTTACAGGCATCCAGACTGGAAAGAAAGAAGTAAAACTATCCAGATGACATGATCTTACATGTAGGACATCCTGGGGAAATCCATAAAAAATAAAAAAATAAAAAAATTCCAGAATTAATAAGCTGGGACTCAACAGAGTTGCAGGATACAAGACCAGTATACAAATATACCTCTTCCAGCCCAGCACTCTACATATGGAACATATTTCTGGTTCTGGTTCTACAGCAGTTCTTGGCCTTTGGATTCAAATTGGGACCATGGCTCTGAAGATTTTGCTGACCTCCGTAATCACATGAGCCAGCTCTTTACATAAGTCTTGTTATCAACAGACACCTCCTATTGGCTCTGTTGTGCAACATATACAGCTGACCCTCAGACAACATGGGGAGTAGGGGCATTGACCCCCACACAGCTCTCCAAAAATTTAACTATAGCCTACCATTAACAAAGCTTCACAGATAACACACACAGTTGATGAACACCTATTTTGTATATGTGTTATAGACTTTTTTTTAAGACTTAATTCATGAGAGAGAGAGAGGCAGAGACATAGGCAGAGGGAGAGGCAGGAGCCCTGCAGGAGCCCAATGCAGAATTCAGCCCCAGGACCCTGGGATCACGACCTGAGCCGAAGGCAGACACTCAACTACCGAACCACCCAGGCGTTAGTATAGACTATATTCTTCCAATAAAGTAAGCTAGAGAAAAAAAAAAAAGGATGTTAGTAAACTCATAAGAGCAAATACAGTACTGGACTCCTTATTAAAAAAAAAAAAAGATCTGGGGCAGCCTGAGTGGCTCAGCGGTTTAGTGTCGCCTTTGGCCCAGGGCCTGATCCTGGAGACCCAGGGTCAAGTCCCATGTCAGGCTCCCTGCATGGAGCCTGCTTCTCCCTCTGCCTGTGTCTCTGCCTCTTTCTCTGTGTGTCTCTCATGAATAAATAAATAAAATCTTAAAAAAAAAAAGTCTTCTTTAAAAAATAAAAAAAAAACCTGTGTAAGCAGACCCACACAGTTCATGACTGGTATTTCATTTTATATATATATTTGTGATATATATCAGGAAATATATATTATAAATGAGATTTACATGTATATCTGATATGTGTATGTTATTGAGTATATATGATAGTAGGTACATATAATATATAAGGTATATGTAATAAGTCTATACATATGGATCTCCTGTTGATTCACTTTCTCTAGAGAACACTAACACAGATTTTTATAATAAAATAAATAGTCTCCACTGAGGGGGACACTTGACGGGATGAGCACTGGGTGTTATTCTGTATGTTGGTAAATTGAACACCAATAAAAATTAATTTATTAAGAAATAAATAAATAAAATAAAATAAATAGTCTCAAATTTAAAAAATAATTTCATTTGCAATAGCATCCAAAAAAGTACTTAATAAATTTAACAAGTGTTAGAGTTCCAAAAACTGCACGGCATTGTTGAAAGAAAGAAGATCTGTATAAGGTAAAGGATGTCCCATGTTCATGGATTGGAGGACTTGATATTGTTAAGATAGCACTACTCCCTGAACTGATTCTGTAGAGTCAACATAATACCTATCAAATTTGGCTGTTTTGCAAAAATCAATAAACTGATCCTAAAATTCTCATGGAAATGCAAGGAATGCAGAATAACCAAAACAGTCTTGATAAAAGAGAACAAAGTTGGAAAACTCTACCAAACCTAACAAGTTACTACAGAGCTGCAATAAGACAGTGTGGTCCTGGCATAAGGATAAAAATATGGGTACTTGGCATAGAATTGAGAGCTCAGAAATAAGCCTTCACATTCATGGTCAATTGATTTTCCTGAAAAAAAAGTGCCAACATGATTCTATAGGGAAAGAACAGTCTTTTCTAACAAACAGTCCTGGGATATGCAAACAAGGAAGTTGGACCCTTAACTAACACAATATTCAAAATGTAACTCAAAATAGATCAAAGGGCTAAACACAAGTGCTGAAACAAAACTCTAAGAAGAAAACAGGCATAAATCCTTATTACCTTAGATCAGGCAATGATTTCTTAGCTGTACACCAAACACACAAGTAACAAAAGTAAGTTGGATTTTATCAGAATTTAAAACATTATGCTTCTCCCTCCACCTGTGTCTCTGCCTCTCTCTCTCTCTCTCTCTCTCTCTCTCTCTCTCTCTCTCTGTCTCTCATGAATAAATAAATAAAATCTTAAAAAAATAAAAGAATTAAAAACATTAGTACATTAAAGGGCCCCATCAAGAAAATGAAAAGACAAGCTATAGAATGGGAGGAATATCAACAAATCATATGTCTTCATCAGATATTTATTTATCTGGAATTGAATCCAGAATATATAAAGAACTCTAACAACTCAGCAATAAAAAAGGATAATCTAATTTTAAATGGCAGAAGACTTAAATATAGACATGTCCCCACATTAAGATACACAAATGGCTAATAACCACATGAAGAGATTTCAGCGTCATTAGTCGTTAGAGAAATGCAAACCAAAACCATGAAGGAATGCCACTTCACACACACTAACGTGGCTATAATAAAAAATACAGGGACGCCCGGGTGGCTCAGCAGTTGAGCATCTGCCTTTGGCTCAGGATGTGATCCTGGGGTCCCAGGATGGAGTCCCAAATCATGCTCCCCACAGGGAGCCTGCTTCTCCCTATGCCTATGTCTCTGCCTCTCCCTCTGTGCCTCTCATTAATAAATAAAATATTTTTAAAAATACAGGGGTACCTGGGGGGCTCAGTCAAGCATCTGCCTTCAGCTCAGGTCATGATCCCAGGATCCTGGGATCAAGGCTCACATCAGGCTCCCTACTCAGCAGAGATCCTGCTTCTCCCTCTCTCCCTCT